ACAGATGGTCTGGACAGATAGGTTTCACTGGACTCCAACAATGGTCACATCTCTAAATTAGTATCTAATAAAATTCGTTAACAGTAGCTCAAATACATTTTGTAAATTCAAACAATATTGTGTTCATATTATAAAACATTGATAACCAAACTCGTTAGCAAAACTTAAAACAAATGAACATAAAGTAAACTACTGTTAATCCAAAAGTGTGGTTTACATTCAAATCGTTCAGTAAAATTGATGAGACTTTTAAAAACCTTTTTAAGTGTACTATTGATGCTTCCGACCCAAGTTCTAAAAAGGCGTAACCAAACAGAAAAAGGAGCATTTAAATTATAACCCATTTACAAATTTTGAATTTTTGAAATAATATTTATGTAGTTATATGTAATGAATTGTTAGCGTGTTAGCTTGATAAGCTAAAATAATAAATATTATTAATTTTTGTTTTCTGAGAAAATATTAAGTAGAATGCTTTGCCCCCGTATGAACAGTATTAGAGATATTGAGTTCCATGTTATAAATAATGTCAATTTAAACTCCCTTCTGTCAAGTCACTTTTAAATTCTGTCAAAAGGACTCCTTGTTACGCCACTGAAGTTATCTCCTATACAATTGTATTCGCGTTGAAATGGAGCTTCATGCCTACTCCGTTTTGAGACAGGTAATTAGATACAACTCCTAGATTAACGACTCGATATGTTACACTGTAAGGTATGAGGTATGATATTAGGGTAGGTTGATATGATTTAAATGTAGTAATGCAAATGCAATATGAGAACTTATAAATAATATCACTTAAAATATGTGTATCTGTTTTATTAGAGAAAATCTTCATTTCGATTACGCCATCAGCAGTTTACAAACGGGGCCCATGCTGGCCTCAAATTATTTCTTCTATATTCAGCAAGAAATGGTTTTTATCTACTCTAATCACATTGATCGTTTCTTAGAAATTCTGTTAATTTTAAGTAGAACTGTTTGTCTTCAAAGCAATTGATACAACATGAACATGCACTGAAAGCTCCCAAAATTTTAGATACAATCTAATCAATGTCTATAATACTCTGTCAAAAGTGGAGAAAAGTATGAGATAAAAGAGAAGTATAACATGAGGGCGAAAAGTATTCGCCAAAGAACGTCTCGTTATTGTTATGGTAGTTTTGGTAGTAGGCACTGAATTTTATCTCCGGTAAAGAGACAGAATTTTCGCCACTTTCGTGCTCAAATTAACTTCCGTCTTGGAGTTCTAGGTCAGTCGTGAATGAAAGAGAAAATAATTTGCTCTTCAGAGATCCACCAGAAGAAGCCTTCTGAACGCGTATTTTACTTAACCATCCCTTTGTAAATGGTGTGTTGTACCGAACGACAGTCAATTCTCCAATAAACGGAAAGTGCTCTTGAAACCTTACGTGTAAAAAAAAGAAAAGCACACTAATATTTTATATGAACGGAAACAAGTTATTTATATGAAGTAACGCTTTCGAATATTGTATATTACATTTAATACTAACTTCATTAAAATAATTAAATTGAGAAAAAATGCATTTTACATTCCTTATCTCATATTTTTGTGCTACTTTCTATAGAAATGTGAAGCCTCTTTTTCTCAGCAAAGGAATCATTGAAAAATGACCTACTTTTAGTTTGAAATGTAATTGCACACATACCATTTTTGTCGTGCAACAATCGGCTTCTTGGCCAACTATCCAAATATTAACAGAATTTTTCCAGAAGGCAGATCAAAATTATTTAGAGTAGACGTACTTTCAAAGGTTAGAATCCAGATTTCTTAATCAAACCAATAATGGTGAGCATACTAATAGAAACAGAAAAATACTAATCCTAAAAACAATACCTAATAAATGTAAAAATTGTTTTATTTGGCGAACAAAGAGGTAAATGAAGTGTTTTTAAAACCCCGAAGTATAAAACACGATTCTAGACCCTACTAGAAAGACTCGAGGAAGTAGCGTGTGACCCCTTGGGCGTGTGTGCGCACGTAGACCCTGAGGAACTCCTCCTCTTGAGACGTCGTGACATTGTAAGGCAGAGCGCTCTGGGACTCGCCCGCGCCGCGCGGCGCGGTCGCCCGGTGCCGCCCTGGGCGTCGCCCGCTCGTGACCGCGCCGCGCTGGCCCGGCCTTTTCGCTTCTTCATCCCTCCGATGCCCTCCACCGCTCTCCGGCCTCCACCAGCCACCACCCTCCATCGGCCTCCGCCCTCCTTCAACCCCTACCCTCCCACAGCATCCACCAACCGCCATACTTCACCACCTTCCACCAGACTTCACCCTCCACCAGACTCCACCCTCCACCAGACTCCACCCTCCACCAGACTCCACCCTCCACCAGACTCCACCCTCCACCAGACTCCACCAACCTCCAACAGCCTCCACCAACCTCCAACAGCCTCCACCAACCTCCAACAGCCTCCACCAACCTCCACACTTCACCAGCCTCCACCAACCTTCGCCAGCATCTCCACCCTCTACCACTCTTCAACCTCCACCAGCCTCCACTCTCTGCCAACTTCCACTCTCCACCAGCATTCACTCTCCATCCTCCTTTACTCATCACCAGCCCTCTCATTCCACCAGCCTCCACCCTCCATCGACCATCAGCTTCCACTCACCACCAGGCTCGAGCCTTCTCCAGCCTTCAACCTCCACCAGCCACCACTATCCACCCTCCACAAGTCTCAATTCTCCAGTCTCGCTATCGCTGGCCATCGCCGTCCATCGCCCTTCCACCACCTATTCATTTCATTCCACCTGTTTGTTGTTTTCCAGCTACAGCTCTCTCCACCATCATCCATAATGGTCCCGTTTTTCTTCGGCTCCTACCAACCTCCATTTTCTTACACTACCCTCCTACTTCGCAACCTTCTACCATCCCTTTACCACCATCTATCCGCCTCCATCAGCCTCTACCGCGACCCGCTACCCTCTGCTAATGTTTACCATCCTCGAATCTCTGGCAGTATCATATTCGGCAGGACTTCTGTCGTTTGCATTTGTCCTTTATTTTCCAAACCTTCCTTTTGACTTCTATATATCCAACTCCTCCCTTTTGTAACTCCTAATTCCATTTTTTCTCACCTATATATTATTTTCATTCATATTTTTTTCAAAGCCTTTCGTCCATCTGCCCCCTACCTCTCAGATTTCTTACGATCTCTTGATGATTGCCTCTGATATCTTCCTGCATGGAGGTTCTCATCTACGAAGAAGATTTTGTCGAGTTTTCCAAACTCGTTGCAATTCCTTTTCAGATCTTCATTTATAATGTCTCCAATTTAGGTGCTCTCGTTTCTGAGACATTGGACTCCTGATATTTTGAATATCACTTTGGAATACATTCTTTAATGATACGTCTCAGATTTGTCCACAGGGAATGCTTTTGAAGGAAGGAATTATTGAAGGGCTTCAGGCTGACAACAAGCGAAGAAGCAATTTTCATGTGCATAAGTAAACTGAAACTGCCAGGATAGAGTTTTTTGGAATCAAAAAAGGAACATATTGTTCATCCAACCGACAATTATTTTTTATATCATTCAATTTATCCAAATATATTAGTCAATGAATTGAAAGTTTCTTCATCGGAAAATGTATTGAAGTAATATTTTTCCTCTCCGAGATAGTATCAATTAATAACATCCAGCGTCATATCGTAATATGTTACAAAAATTATATCAGAATAGCCATTCCATTACTGATTATGAAATTTACTGCTATGTAGTAAATTTATCCTTTGGGAGCAGTAATCAATAGGTTTCTCTTAACTTCTCATAGAACTAATTGTTAAAGCGTACAAATTTTTGATGTAATAAATTAAATAATATTGAAGTACTATTTCAGATTTAATGAAAAAATATGTTTGATTTTACAGAAAGTAAAAGAGAGTAAAAGAATCCTGTGAATACATGAATTACATTATCTCAGATGAATTCAGATATTAGGGGATTTTTAAATACTTATTATTTCAATCTTTAAAATGCAATTTTTATTCTTTGGCGAATTACATTTTCGGGACAAAAAGTAAAGGAAAAAGGTACTACTAATCGCAGTTTTCCTTTTAAAAACATGCGAATTAAATCGGTTTGAAGCCCCTTCAACCTCCGTTTCCTTCTATAATAATGTTTTTGGTGTGCAGTGACTACAAATCAACTGAACGTGATGCAGTTCGGAGTATGCCATTTTTAGAATAATTTTCTTGCAGCCATTCCAAAACACCAAGATTTACTGAAGAGACACAGCTCGTCACCATATGATTGCAGCCAGACAACCAGTTCTGAGACATTAAGCATGATGAAAACAAACATGGTGAATTACAGGGCATTTAATGAAATCGAAAGATCGCTAAATAAGGAAGTTGCTTCTGTAAATAAACCTATTCAAAGAAATAATTTAATCTATTTTAACAAGTCACTATTATTCAAAATAGTGAATTTGTAACACGGGCCTTTAAATGAGTTATGATAAATTGCAACCCTCAATTCTTTCGTCGCTAGAATTGCAAACCGCCTGAGGATTGGATGATTTATAGGTTATCAATGAGACTTTACATGTGTTACATACTATTGTTTGCATTGTCATACATTTAGTGTAACGCGTTTGTATGATCAAAAGTGTCTGGTATCTTACCCAACACTGAATCCATACTCTTTATTCAGCTCTAAATTGCTAGATCTGCTACGTACTTTTCCATGTTAGATTAATCTCTGTCAATATAAGATACGGTTTGGCAAGGTACAACAGATTTTGTTGTAATCATAAATTATGTTAAATAAATAACACACATCAATGGATTATTTATATTAGTGAATCGCTTCACCATATTTGTTTCCACCATGGCGATACTAAAACTGATTTAGGAACGCACGCGGTTGGTCGTCCGCGCGCCACCTCAGGGAGTGAACCCCACGTTCATTCGCACCGCGAGCTTAACCTCTCTTCTGTTTTGTTTTGTTTGTTTCTGCCCGCCCCCCGCCCTCTGTAGATGAAGTACTTTGTCGCGCGCCGCAAGTTCAAGGAGGCCTTGAAGCCGTATGACGTGAAGGACGTCATTGAGCAATATTCCGCGGGACACGTAGACTTGCTGGGCCGAGTAAAGAATGTGCAGCAGAGGTACTGGTGCCGCCGCTCTGCCTCGCCGCAGCGCAGGACCTTCCTCTTCTTCTTCCTTTCGCGCTCTCGCCTCTCTCGGGCCTTTTCTTCTTCTCCTCTCTTGCCCCCTCTATTCTGTACCCCGATATTTCGTTCCTCTGTCTCTCCAGGTATTTTTTTATTTCTCTTGGGTCTCCTGGGTTCTTTTTATGGGTGTGTAAATCCTTGCACCAAATATTTTGTTCTGATTCTGATACCATTGGATGGAATTATCTCCAAATTTTATTACTTATATTTAAAATGAAGAACATTGTGTAAAAGAATGTAGGTAATTTTGAGGTGTAAGGTTAGAGTTGTTGGGAAAATTTAGTTTTTGCGTTGTACTTACAATGATCTTTAGTTTTGAATAAAAAATGGGTAATTTTATTCTGTTTGATTCACTTTCTATTCCGAGTAACATTGTGTACAGTTTGCTTCCATTTCCAAGTACTTCATTTCGAGAGTTATTCAGAAATAAAATTTCCGTTTCAATGTTTTGGATAACAGAAACACATCTCTCCTTTCTGACTTCCATGCCTTTAGCTGCTCCTGCGAATTTCATCTTCGCGTCTTCGGTGTGTGCTCTGGGAATGATATGTAGCATCGACGTATCTGTGCTGTGGTCCCACCTAACTAGTGATGTACGGATTTGTGCCTGCGCATGTCAAAGCAATGCATTCACTTGCATCAAAATGTGACCAGATGGTGTTTTCTTTCTGTTGTGTTCCAGGCAATTTAACAAATGAATATCAGTGCAAACTATTAGACTAATTTTGTGTGTGCATGTGTTTTTAATTTTCTTTTTGTAACTAAGAAAACATCGTTTCATCCTTGGTTTCTGTAAACGTTGAATTGAGCCAGCAACGGTACTTAGAGTGACATGTGCATCGTACCGGAATGATCTGAAGGCGCCGTGCACAATCTCACTGCTGTACATGTGGCATCAAAATACTTCCGTCTCGTATGTGTTGCACATGAAACTGTCCACATCGAAACCGAAGTGATGGAGTAGCTTATATCACACGACCACTATCAAATTATCTTGGTGATGCTGAGTAACTTTACTGAAGTTTTGACCCTCGCCCCGATTCGGAGCCAAATTTCGTGTGAGCCCGTTCTGAACCGAGAGCGTCCTGGCCACGGCTTTCGGGGCTCGCCCCGAGAGTCCGTCGGTCTAGCGCTCCGTCACTACTGGACGTGAAGTGCTGTGGCTGTGTGTCTCTTGTGTTGTCTCATGTGCTCTCTATCCACACGCCCTCTAACCAGGAGCGCAGCCCGCGGGCGTCGCGGCGCCGCCAGACGCCGGCCGCCGCCCGGGGGCGGTGAACGCCACCTCGGGGCGATGGGCAGCGGGCGTGGGTGATTTGCGCTAGCCATGGGAGATGGTAGCAGCCACTGGTGGTGCACGCTGCCTGGATGCGATAGGAAGTAGGCATGGGCGTAGGGGAAATGGCGATAAACCCTTCCTGGGAGAGTGGGTAGAATCACCGATAATGGACGGCGGGAGATGGGCGATTAACGCTTCCTACGGATGGGGTGAGCGACGGGAGAATGGGAGATGGATGGCGGGTGACAGACAATCCTCGAGATAATGGGCGGAAGGCTTGGGCGATAGATGTTAAACACCACATACGGGTAGTGAACGATGGACAGTTGTATATGGGCGTTAGCAGTTGGGCGATGTGGTGAATACCATTCAATGAAACTGAATAATCGATGACGATGGGTAGTGAATGATGAACTATGAGCTACAGTTAGTTCACAATGTGCGATTGGCAATAAACACTACACGGGAGGGTTATGGACTACAGTCAATATAAATTTTAAATGTTAAAGATAAGCATTAAATCTATGATAAGAACTACAAGCAACGTCTGGGGTCACGAAAAGTGCATGACGAGAAATAAACTTGACCAATCGATAAACTGTTGGCGAAGGTCAATGAACACAGGAATTGGGTTGCGCTAGCGTGAACGAAAGAGATAAAGATTACGAAACTGAACCGAAAGGCATGAACGATACACGTCGAGCGATGAGCGGAACGCAACGGGCCAATGGGCCACAGCCAATAAGCAATAGAGAATAGATGAAGAGGATGGCCGTAGGCGGAACGTTAGGGTAGGACTATGAGCGAATAACAATGATAGAAACAATAGATATTTCATAAAAGACCGTAAAGGATAGAAAATGATCAATAAATGATGGAATGTGGCCAATGTTCGATGAGTGAGAAGATGGATGACGGATGTGACAATGAACAAGGGACGAAACTGTAAATCAACGGTGGATTTTTCCTGGGTGGCTAAAGCGGGAGAGAAGTCTTGGAATGAAAAAGAGGACACAAAGTTTCTACTTTATGTAGCGCAATGATTATGTTTGAGTGCACTTACGTGTATAATGATCACTATATTGTGAGTATTCTTGCGTATGAATCCTGTCTGTATGTCACATTATCCTTCACTGTTCAAATGTTCAAATTATAGGGAAAAGCTCTTTGCATTAACAAGAATCAAGAAACTTTTGGTAAGAGAAATATTTATTTCAAATGAAGGTTGTAATGAACGTTTGATGTTGAAATGTTTCAAAAATCTCTCGTTTTGACAGTGTTTTAAATTATTGTAAAGAATTATTATAATTAAGTATTCTACGTTTATTATATTTTACAATGTTACTGATGCATAAAATGATACTTGTCCGTATTGACTTTCCCTGTTCCTAAAACGACTAAAAATAAAAAAAATTAAAGAGCTGTACGTTTCGCAACTCCTTGTGCAGTGTTGAAGTGACAGGCAACGGAGATAAGTGTTGGAAAGGCAGGATGCCGAGTTCAAAAAATAAAATGAATAAATAAAATTCAATTTTGTACTTAAAATAATTAGATTTTTTCGTACCAGTATTACATATTTGCATCTCTAGTTCAAACTCGGAAACGGGGAAAATACAACTTTCAACTAAGATCGTTAAATTAGTTGTATGTTGAAAAATAATTCAAGTATTTGGTGTAAGAAAAAACGTTGAAAAGGAAATCAAAAAACAAAGCAACACTCCTAACATTTTATAAAACTTTAGCTGGTGCAACTGGTCTTTATGGAAGTGAAACGTGGGCACCGACTAGCAAATCCCGTAGTAGAATTCAGGCTTCTGAAATGATATTTTTGTGATCAATATTGGGCGTTACGAGAGAGAAGAGAAGAATAAATGAAGGTGTACGAAATAAGTTAGGAATATGTAATTTAAATGAAAAAAATAAAAGAATTTAGAGCGCATGGGCAAACCGCGTACCAAGAATAGAAAATTCCAGAACTCCAAAAGAAGTGACCCAATAGTGTAATACAAAGAAATTTTTGTTGTGCGGCCGAAAACAACGTGGAAGTACCAATGAGTGCGCAGCAAATCTACGGTCCAATGCTTGAAGAATAATAATAAGAAGAGAAAAGTCGTTGAAACAGATATTAGTGAGGAAAGGACAAAATCTGTAATCACTTGTTGAGTCTAAAATTTGCTCTAAAATTGGAGGTTGTGAGGAAGGCTCATTAGTCTGTTTCTCTCACGAATAAAATTTGATTATTGTACTTAAATTTAAATTAAATATTATTTCAAATTAATTTCTAGCTATGTAAAAACATAAATAATAATTTCAAGTTCTCACTTTTTTTTAACTATCGTGATTAACACAATAATGCAGTGAAAGAGGGGAAGCCTTGAGATAAAATGAGCACAGAATTAAGTCATAGTTCTTATCATCTCATATAGAACATCGCTACTACATGTTTTACTATTTTTCGAGTGTGAATTATTTCTTGATAAATGGGTATATTTTTACAGCTTTAAAGCTCTTGCTAACAATTTTCTTCCAAATAAATCCTTCATTCATGATAATTCGTAGTCATGGATTTTTGTACCTGCAAAACAATCTATTCTTATTACAAAATGAAAAGTTAATAAGTATTGTGATGTAGACATGACTTATGAAATGTGACATTTTTTGTCTGCTAACGATGCAATATTAAACTGAAATTATTTAGTTAAGATATTTTTAATGAGAAATTAAAGATAGAACGCATAGGCACAATAAATAAATAAATAAATAAATAAAAGAATTCCATGGATTTTGAGATAAAATTGCGTGTAATTTAATTCGAATGCATTATATTAGTAGACCTACAAACTATTTGATAAATAACAAGTTTGTTAGAGATATTTATTGTTACAGCAATTGCATTTAAGAATACTCTAGTAACAGCGATAATTAATCATTTTCTAAGAAGGAAAATAGCAAATGAACAGAATCATTTTTTGAGATATAAATAATTGTGTGCCTTTTTTAAGAGTTCTTAGATTTTCAACAAATACAAGTTACGAATAAAGAAGATACACAAATCAATTTATCTCTATTGAAGAAAGAAGGAAATAGTACTGATTGCACGTTATAACATTTATTGTAACTAAAGATATGTTCTCTATTAACACAAGTGCTTGTGCCATAAGCAGTAACTCCATTAATATTCAAAGGAGAAATGTATGTAGTATCTTGAAATCCATTACATTCTCCTTCTATCCTTGAACTTTTGTGCATTAACATTAAAAACTTTATTTCAATAATTCAATGTATTGATAACATTATTGGCGTTATTAATATACTTGACAATATTATTAATTACCGCAGAAACTTTGATATGTGAAATCTATCGACAGGCGAGGGTGTAACGCTGAGCAAGGACCGGGAACTTTAGCAAGAGTCGCAACAATCAAGGGGAACCTGGTACAAGTAGAATGACGGTCTAGACAAGTGATAATACGGGATACATGCCATTAATGAGTTTTGAGAAAATGATGGGTGACTTGAAAGGGAAAGAGAAGGCCGGAAATTGATGCAAGAGATATGCAATGAGCGAAAATACTCTAGTGGTAAATTGAGGATGGGTGCTAGCCATGGTCAATGAACTAGACAAACATCCTGGTTGTCATTGCCATAAATCGGTTAAAAATGATAGCAATATGCAGGCTGGGACAAGTTAATAACTACTAGCTAAAATTAACCTAGTGATGAGTAAATTAAGAAACTTGACGTAAATTATTAGTAATGGCACGGATGGAGACAAATAATGAAAAGTTAGAGGCATGCAATTGATGATTTGTCAGTGCGGGAGGTAAGGGATAGGCAATGCGTGAGAGAGGCAAAACTAGTAAAACGTGTATGAGACGGAACCTCTGAAAGACGTAAATCTGCCATCCCGGACGAAAAATCTCGGAACGGAAAATTTTTACACAAGAAAATCACTTCTATAAGACGGAAACGTGTCTAAAGCGGAAACGGAACGGTTGTTAGAGCACATAGTAAATAGTTTTATTATCTGGCGAAGACGGAAATTTATTTTTAAATTTCAGGCACTATCTTTGGAATGGCATAGTGCAATGGGTCACATGTTGAAAAAATAGAGTAAATGACGAGTTATTCATCTTTTACTTGTCTTGACGAACGCGGCAACAGTTTCACTGCGACTTTCTCGCGCTTTAAATAAATAAATGTATTTGTTGGTGACGTGGCTCTGACCATTTAGCCTTCTCTTCCACCAGACCACTTTCAAAAAATATTACAATAGTGCACAATAAAAGGGTCACTGAATGAGAAATACGAACGCAATTTGAATGAAGGGTTTCCCACAGATGAGAAAGGAGTTGATAGAAAAGGAAATGCTCTCACAGGATTTGTGTGATTAAATTGATTAATTTTAAGTAATGGGTGAATTAAAATTAATCACAAATATATCAGATTGAACACTACGATATTTTACCCAAATTGTAGAAATTATCTTTTTGTGACTCAGCCAGTTAGATGATTTTAACTGACTCGTTCTGAGCTTTCCTCAGTTTTAGTCTTAAGGTCTCAAAAGGACCACTTTGTCGCTGTCGTTCCGAATTCTAAAAGGTTGTCTGCGTCCGTTCCATTCTCAAAAGCGTCACCACTTTTCCATTAGTCGAAAATGGAATTCCGGGAAGGCTGTCTTGTCATCCTAACGTAGCAGTCGGAGGGTTGATGACGTGTAGACCACATAATTTAGTGACCTCTCGCAGAATAGTGTAAGAAAACTGTATTGTACTGCGTCAAAATATCTTTGAAGCGGAAACGCAAAATCCTTGCACTACAGACGAAAATGGAAGTCATTGATGAATATTAGAAGGAAAAAGATACTCAAAAGACCTAGTTGCGAAATTCGAAGTGAGTAAATTTATGACATTATACCAATTAAGGACAAATTTCAAAACAAGTAGTTAAAATGACAAAATTATATCTCAAACTTACTCGTACTTAAGTTATATGGTAAATTTTTGGCAGCCCTCCCTAAGACGAAAACATGCCAAGACGGAATTATTTTATGAAACAATCAGATTCCGTCTTATACAGGTATTACTCTATTTGGAAATTAACAAGAATCGAAGTTTAAAATTCTCAAGATTCAAGCCAAGCCATATCTGAAGAAACGCGTCAGTGAGAGCTTCGGGACGAATTACCATTATTCCGACCTCGGCTAGCAATCTGGGCATTAGCGTTTGGGTAAGGAGGGTTCGAGCGTGAATGGCGGGTGAGGCAAGCTGGTAACGAGAAAACTAAAATCATCATTAGCGATCATATCGATTTGAATAGCATCGAGATTTTAGGAAGGACACCACAAGCGAGTAATGGCGGGTGAGGAGGGAAAAGAAAGGCTGGTAACGAAATAAACGAGAATCTTCACTATCTAACATGTGAATTTGGAGGGCGCCCAAGTTTTAGTAAAGAGCCAGGAGCGAGTAATAATGGGTTTAGGGGCAGGGGTCCATGTGGTGAGCATAGTGAGAATCTTCACCGTCTAGCCTAGAGAGTCGGACGTTTGGGGGAAATCAGGGTCAGGGCGTGCAATGTCGGGTGTGGGGCGGAGGGGTCGGCCGGTGAGCAGAGAGAGAATCATCACCGTCTAGCCTAGTGAGTCGGACGTTTGGGGGAAATCAGGGTCAGGGCGTGCAATGTCGGGTGTGGGGCGGAGGGGTTGGCCGGTGAGCAGAGTGACAATGATCAGCCTAGAGAGTCGGGCGTGTAGGGGGCGCAGTGGCGGGTGAGGAGGGGGGCAGCCGGTGACGGCCGCGTCGCGACGCCCGCGGCGCCCACAGCCGGCGACGCCGTCGCCATCACCACCACCATCACCACCGCCGGCGCCGCCGCCGCCGCCGTCACCACATCTCCACTCCACCTCGCGCTGCGTGGCCTGGCACCGGCGCTCTGCTCTTAACGTCCTTTTTCTTGTGTTGTTGTTGTGTTGTATTGTGTTGTGATGTGACGTGTTGTGCTGTGCTGTTTCTTTCACTATTTTTCTGTGTTGTCTTGCCCCTCCTAGCTGAAGTATTTTGTGGCTCGTAAGAAGTTTAGAGAGGCTCTGAAACCTTACGATGTTAAAGATGTCATTGAGCAATACTCGTCCGGGCATGCGGATCTCTTGAACAGAGTCAAAAACCTGCAGTTCAGGTGGGTCCACGCCACAAACCCATCGGCGGCAGTGGGGACGTCGGTGGACGCCGGTTACACGAGTACTTTACGTCCCCACGGCGTTCCGAGTAGCAAAGTGGACGATTAGAATGGTTGATGTGAGGAGTTCGCTCGCCTTGTACACGTATTCCACGGGATCGTTCTCAGAGTGTGGCAGAACGCTGCGTTAAATTCAAACGTTAGTGCGTGGGAGGCATATGTGTATTTTCCTTCGGCGTCCACTGGCGTCTCTGCTACGCGCTCGATTTCCCCTGACCTCACACATACACGGACACGGACTCGCATTTTGTGCACGCACGCAAAGCTGTAGCGCCCTACCAACAGTCTCTCCCTCGGCCCTTCCTACGTTATGCCTTTCCCCCAGTTCCTGCCGTTCCACCTGGATCGTGTGAAGTGAGCCGGTAACGTTATAAAGAAACGCGGTACGTCTTCTAACGAAGGAACGATAAATATTTATAAAACAAATTGTTGCAAAATAATAATATTTTCAAATAACTTCCATGTGACATTTAAAGACCTCATTGATATAACTCGCTTTGTCCTTTTATCTTCAAGAATGTCATTATATTCCTCTTTAGAGGGTATTTAGACTGTTTACATCTTACACGGTTTTGCCATTACAAGGAAATATTTATTTCATGTACAAAGAATGAGAATGCTAAAAATCTTTTAAAATGATGTTTCCTTGAAATTAACAATTGTAAGCGGAAAACTGAGAAGCATTTAACGTTCCTATCTTTTGTTCTTTCTTATGAAGAAACATAACTCCTTCAAACGACTCCATTTCCATTCGACATTTCCTTGTGTTGCTGTTTCCAGCAAAAAGTCCGTCCCATTGCACTGTATATATTTGAATATGGGGCAGCTTTGACAACTCAACAAACATAAAATATGTTCCATATTTCTCCCAATCACTAAAAGAAGGACAAGGTAAAATTCATGCAAGTAAATCACTAGCGCTATTCCATTTCTTTTTTACGAGACATCTGAAAGTAAATGTATATCACTTAAATCGGGTGACTCATATTAATGACCTTTAAAACGGCCAATTAAGACCTATATATTATCTTGAACGTAGAAACATTTTCCGCACATGACTAAAAAGTTTGAAGCTGATTGTGAACGTTTTCCGCAGTTGGCTAGTCGCTGTGTTGCTGCCTGCTTTAGAGCATGATACGTCGCTTTCTGTAACTAAATGTTATATTTCGGAGAGTAGTCACTCGCCTCGGAGCCTCGTACCCCAGATTCTCAATTACACAACGGGCTGTGAAAAGGAAGACAAGAAAATGAGGTCACTCTGATTATTTTCTCTTCGATAACATTTGTTAGAAACATACAAAATAGCCAGAACTCAGTTGCTTTCTGAACACATGTAATTTGGAATTAGTATTACGAGACGCTAGTTGAGAAGAAAATTTACTTTATCACGACTGAACATGTATTTTAATATTAAGAATATAATTTGGTTTAAGAATCTGAAAAGTTATGAGAAAAATTGCATTAAATTTAGTCTCATCTTCATGAACTGTAACCTTTTACATTTCAAATCAATGTTATCAAGATCCACACATCATGCCGGACATGTCATAGCTCTGGTAATTGACGTTTGCAGTCATCGCATGTCAATCTGATTATGTCTGGTCGATGAGATTTGTGTTGCCAGAAGTGTGCATTTAATCATCCAAATAAGTTACATAATCTGATGTGACTAATCGTTTCCGAATACTTCCCGTCATTTCTTCTGACGCTGTTTCTCAAGTAGCTGAAAAGCAAAACAAAGAAAGTTATTTATCATGTAGTTTCTCTAATCTTATAGCCATAAAAATAAATGTAATTTACGCAGTTATTTTTTTAAGTTTTCTGGACATACTAGTTCCTTAAAATTATCTTTTTTAGACACAAGCAAACATTTTATTTAAAAAAAAGTTTCCTTAATATAATTCTCGATTTCAATGATAAAATGTCTATACATCAAGTAAAATATAAAGAATATGAGAATTAAATTTCAAATACGATTCTATGAAATTCTATTTTAAAAAGAAGGTTATTGACAAATGTCAATTTTATTGTGGCAGAAGTATTAACTTTAATTATTGTGTAAAACTATATTTTACTTTAATGTGATTTATCCTTGGTTAAAACTGTGGAGGTTGAACACTACTTGACAATGTTTCTCTAGTTGTAAAATTCCAAGGCGCAACCGTTATTTTTCTCTGAGAGTAAAGGTGTAGTACCTAGTAGACTTGATATTTTCTTATAAGAAATACTTCATTTAGAATGAATTTAAAATGTATTTTAATTTGTTGACTTATGTATAATATTCAAAACGTTAACAATTGGTATTATTAATGTTTTCTTAGTACAGAAAACAGATTATTGAATATTTTTCTTGCTTTTACTTAGTTATTTCTGGAACATTAATTTCAACGACCTAATATTTCTTATTTATTTATTTTGGAATGTATGAGCATTTATTTTCAAGTCGGGATGAATACCTATTAGCATCAAGCGTCTCTTTTTACTCCTTGACCATTTCATCTCAGAGTAGTAAGAGGAGGAGTAGACGAGTAGGCGTGTCTTCCTATTCCTGACCCACCATCGCGATCATGCTGGTGTCCACACTCTTCACTATGGAAAACTCACTAACAATCGAAGGGTGAAATTGTAAATAGCAAACTAAATGTAGCTTAATACTCAAACCTGCTTGCTGCATGTGTGCTAACATTTCTCTTTAACTTTCTCTTCCGTTGAAAATATTTCTTTAACTCTCACTATTAAATGTATGTTCGCCTTTCACGTAGTTGTTGTTTGTAAAGTGTATCTACAAAATCTTATGACAATTCAAAATTCATAAAAACATTAAATAAAAACCCTTCACAACTTCATAATCTATAAATAAAAGAAGAGATATGATAGGCATATGTCGGACTCAGTTTTCAAAAACTAACATAACTAAAATGTTTCTAATACTTTTCTAAAAATAATTAAGGTCTTGGAACACTGACTTTTACTGTGCTTGCAAACTACTTTCTCACGGATTGAGAGAATATCTTCTTTGTGGCAAATCTGAATCTTTTTCTTTTTATCCTCTAACGCCCAGTCATTTTATTTGCTCTGAACAAACACATCTGTCGCATTAATAATATCGTTATGCAATGTCTTTAATGGTAAAAGACCCTATTATATTTGTTCTTGAATATTGAAAGTTACAATGTTGACGACCGTTTTGCAAATGTTAAAAAAAACTCAATGCACATCTACTTTATTACCTTGAAGCTAATTAATGCGAATTTAAAAATCACCATTATTGATAAAAGGGTAACTTGTTGATAACTTCAGAAAACTAATTCTAAATGTTATCTATCACATCTCTCATATTAAGGAGTTGTAAGTACACAATTTGTAACCAAACTCTTAAAACAGTGAAAGTTTGTGAAATACAAAAAAAGTGAAGAAAACAGGAGTTATTTGAAGAGTTGATTAACAAGAAAAATGTACATTTAGTAACGTGTGTTAATGCTGACAATTTGTCCCTTCCATAACTGGGCGTTAGTGGCATTGTAGCTACCGTCAAATATTTGCGATATTTTCCCACAAAAAAGCCTAACTATGTATCCAGAAAAAGTAAATATCAACTGCTTGATATTCTCAAAGTCAATTGTTTTCTTCTTAATCAACGTAGTTTATAATATCTGTCACTGCATGCACTAATAGCTGCTAGTACACGCGTTGTGCGTGAGACTCAATTTCCCGATGCGAACGCGAATCTCGCTGGTACTTGACAGCTGTTATAAGTAAAGAGTAGTCGCCTTGGCGGTGTGTTGCACACGAGTGACTTCCTTGCAGGCTAGACCAGATCCTGGGCAAGCAAGGGTCCAAATCGAAGGACGTTTACGCGTCCAAGATCAGCCTGGCCAGCCGCGTCGTCAAAGTTGAGCGTCAGGTGAGTGGCTCGTCGCCCCTTTTTTTCGAATACGTAGTAGAAATAAATACGTAGTGCTGCATAAAAAGTGTTGATATTTTGAGAAAAATCTCAATGCGTGGACACTTGATATAGAGAAAGTATTTTTTCTGTCCTATACTAGTTTTTCTTTCTGCGTACATTGTATAGTCAAAATATAAGTTTTGGGGATCAATGGTACCGGACAAGTGTTTTCTCAAAATGCCCATCTGTCCGTCTATGAACAACATTAGTGTCTAATTCGAATACAGGATGTTCTCCAAAATGCATATTTCCTTATAGATCTGGGCGCATTTTCAAAAATGACTTCTATTTCAACAATAAAAGATTTCGTTAAGGACAAAATATCTCTATCTTCAATATTTTAGTTGGAAGAAAAGAATTAAACTTTTTCAATATCCGAAATATCAAGTATTTCAACGAAAATGTAACGTGCGCCGTTCTTTTAAGTATCCTAAAACTTGTACGTGTGAATGGTCGTTTGAGGCGGGCGATCTTTGGTCCGCAGGTGGACGACATCGAGATGAAGCTGGACCAGCTTATCGAGCTGTACATGGAGGACCGCAAGCGGCTGCTGGCGCTGCCGATGGTGGCGCCGGGGCTGGCGGCGGCGGCGGCGGCCGCGGCGGCGGGCGCGGGGCGGGCGCGGGGCGGGCGCGGGCGCGTTCGCCGTGCGCTGCGGGCGCGGCGCCGTCCTCGCGCGCACACCCGGGCGGGGCGGGGGCGGCGGCGACGGCGGCGGGGGCGGCGGCGGACGAGGCGCTGGCGCCCGTGGCCGTGCTGCGGCCGAAGCCCATCCTGGTGGACAAGCAGGCGTCCGAGCCGAACACGCCCATCGCCAAGAGCTTCGAGCCGGGCGGCCCGCGCCCGCCGCTCATGCACCGCGGCTACTCCGACCTCGGCCACCGCATCAAGAAGCGAGTCACCCTCAGGTGAGCTTGGCTGCTCTCTCTCCTACCACTCCACACAATCACTTGTTCTACGGCGCGCCAGGAAAATCTCTCCGCAGTGGCACCAGCGGCTAGTGAGAGTGCTACGAGTAGTAAAAGAAATTATGTTGGTAACAAATAAAAACTTAAATTACGTACTCGCTACAATCATAACAGATGCTGGAAGAGTTGTCCCCTTCACAGTGCTGTGGTTGCTGCCAACGTAAATTCAATTTGTTATTGAAGCCCTTAATTCAGAGTGGTATGACGTGTGTGTTTCCTGCCGTACGTTAACTGGGGCAATTCACCCCGGGGTGGGCATCTAAATGTTTACCTTCATCCGCCTACCCCGCCGACGCACAAGTACGCTGACAGGCTGGTATCTGGATCCCACCGGAACGCAGTTTACCCTCGTGGTATCCTTCTCTTCCATCCTAGAGCTACCGGTTTTCCAGGCTGATGCCGGAGTCGAATCAATGCGTCGGCACAAGTCCCTCCTGTATGCCCATTGTGCCGGGCTTCTGCTACGAAGCCAACAGCCCAACAGGAGGCCATCCGATCTGAGGGCCGGACAGATTGGGCGTTCTTCCCGTCTCCTTACTGTCTACCCCTTTAGGCTGTAGACGTGAGTAACGTCGAAACCTATGCAACCTGACGGGGGGGATCATGGTCCCTCATCTGGATGATTATATGTGGGATCCGGGTCGTTCCAAAGAATCCCTTCGCCCAATCCTACCCAATGGTCGATGCGCCATGGTGATGGGTTACTGAGAAAAAACAGCAATACATACCGCTTACTCACTGCCTCCACCTTGAAGCTAACGACTGCCTTGATCGGTAGTTTTCCTACACACTAGTTACTCCTACACACACTTACAGGCTCTGCACTATCGCACGTGTCGGGGGCGTAGAGCTAGTCCCGAGGGCGTGATCCCCTGGTGGGGAGAAGCCGGTGTATAGTTCGGCGTCTGAACTCACCATCCAGATTTTGTTCAGAAGCGCCATTTCGCCTTGATTTTTTTACTTGTCGCATTGCAACTCAGGATTTTTCCCCTTCAGAATAAATGTTTTGATGTAAATAATCCACGAATTTCGAACCGGTTCAACCGGGAGAGATGGCCCAGGGCGTCAACTGATGTCATTGCAGTCCCTTTGATCGGGAGGTCCTAAGTTCGCGTCCCAACGGTGGCAGGAATTTCTACACTAGGTACAGCTAGGTCGAATTCAGTCGCTGTCTGGAGGAGAAATCTAGCGGCCGGCTGCTCTGATCGGTAGTTTTTCGTGATTTCTCCGATCAACACCAGGTGAATGCCGGAGCAGTTTAACAAATGGGCCACGGACCGCGCGCGATCTTTCCTACCTCTTCCTTGTCCTATCCTTACTCCTACTTACATACACTTACACTAACATGCACTGCACTACCAGACAAGTCGGGAGACCACTTGCGAACTTGAAGCTTGTCCCGGATGAGGTGGTTACTTGTTGGTGGGAGATACCTGGTAGAGGAAATCCCAGCAAGCTGTCGTGGATAGGCGCCGAATCTCGCCATCTAGCAGGAGACGATCCCGCGATAAAAACCATGCCATACACTTTCGGGACTAATGGCTGTAGCAACTGACGCGCCCGGAATAACTAACAAGAGAATCAATCAGTTGAACAAAGAGCACGTCGTAAATAACATCCTTGATTGCTTCTCAGTGGTTGTGTTTAATGGCGGCGCATGGCGCGCGTGGTTCGCAGCTCCATCCCGTCGCAGTACGCGGCGGCGTCGCCGGGCTCCGGCTCGGACGAGCACTCGCCGGGCGACGTGGTGATCGTGGTGCCGCCGCTGGCAGGCGCGGGGGGCGACGCCGACGACGACGACGCCCACGCCCACGCTCACGCCCACGCCCCGCCGCACGAGCCCGGCAG